TGGTGATAAGCAGGAACCCTCTTTTAATCCATGATTTGCTTTAAAGACTGAGGCTTTCATGTTACCAGTGATAACTTGGAACTCAGTTTCATCATACAAACTTGCAAGTGCTTTCAAGAATTTGAAGGATACCCCTAGAAGTGATAGTTTGCAAAATAAAATTCGCCTGTCAACAGATGGGAAAGCTTTAGCAAGGTCAAGGAGTGCTATAAGTATTCCCTCCTTGTAATTTTTAGTTCAACGGATCAGTTCCATTATGAAAACATTGTCAATTGTTGATCTTGCGTTGCAAAATCCAGCTTGGACATCAGGAAATAAATGTTTGTCTTCAGACCATTGCAACAGTCTGTCAGCCAGTAATTCTTCATCCGATTCTTAAGAATATGATTCTTGAAAGGCTATGTATTTCTTTCGTTTTGATTCTATCTCTACGAATATCACATCAATAAAATTAGAACTAAATTTGTCTCGCATTTTTCGCACATGCATATTTCATGGCATTTGTTTTCTTGAAAAACCATGCAAATTACTGCATACGCAGAATGATAGACAGAAATACACATTTCAACTTGTTCCCAAAATCCGTTTGTTTCAACTCAAATGCGATCATTCAAAGCCTCATCTTTTGAGGCTGTTTAAAAAAAATGTGGCTGTTACAAAAAAAAAGGTTTCAAACAGGGCTGATTTTTTCATTCTGCCAAAGAATATGCTTTCCCGGCCTAAAGATTGTTTTTCAGCTCGATTAGGCGCCATTTTCATTTCCATTCCGAGAACTTTTTGTAGAACTCTCGTATTTCCAATAAAGTCCATTTCTGTATATCTCCGGCGTCCAGAAATTAGTTTCTATATACAATGAATTTTATTTCTATGAAAATTACTCCATCATCGGCTTCAATAAATATCTTCTCGAGATACATTAGAGATTCGCATTTTTATTTCATTCATTTCTTATTTCACTCACGGTAAAAAGCAATGAGCAGCAGTGACGACGAAGGACTCGTGGATCATGGCCCCTCCGCAAAAGTGTCTGCCTCCGTAGACCAAGGACACGATGAACGGGAATTCCCCGCGATACGCTCCACTGCCGCCGACAATGTGCAAGTTCACGTCGGTGTCATGCTCCAGCTGTTGAGCTGGCAAATGAATTTACCGCAGCTGGATGATTTAGAAATAATTCGAGGGACAAAGAGAGAAAAAACACACGCGTGTGTTTCGGAATAAAGGGGAGAATTTTCGTATGAAAGAGGAGAGATTGCGGCGGAATTTCCAATTTCGCACGATTTGGGGTATATTATATATATAAATATATACTGAGACTAAAAATGGGCGTATGGATCGGGATGGAATTCATGTACTGCATTGAAAAGAAGTCTAAGGAGGATACGTCCAATGTACGTCAAAATAACAATACGTCACAAAGAATGTCAAACAACAATACTTCTTCAGCTGTTGAGCTTGTAAATTAACACAGCTCGATCATAAACAAATAATTCAAGAAAAAAAACTTGTCTTTTTAAGTAGTAGCATTTTTGTATGAAAGAAGAGAGATGGGCGGAACTCCCAACTTTTGCTCATTTTGATGTATATATTACATACAAGGGTCTTGACAAAAGTTCATGCAACCATTCAAAAGATGTCATACAATTGAGCTGGAAAAAATGTATTCTTTAGGGAAAACATATTCTTTAGCTCACAAAAAAAATTAGCCCCATTTGACAATTTTTTTTAATGTTTTGCAAAATTCACCCTAGCAGAGTTTTGCTCTCCACTCAAAAGATGATGCGCCCATTCTGTAGATTTTTCTTGTTGTAGCCCAGCTTTTCCCTCAGAATTCTTGAAATCAACTTGGCATTAATTCCAAGGGTTGCCTCCAAGTCTTCCACAATAATTTCCGCCATTTTCACCAACAGCCGCCTTCACAGCCGCCACATTGGCTGCCAGTTTGGAGGCTGTGAAGGCACCTGTTGATGAAAATGGCAGAATTCTCTTGGAAGATCTGGAGGCAACCTTTAGAAAGAATTATTAAGGTTCATCAATTTAACCAAAATGGAGTAAAATTGTCTGATTACAGATTGAAAGACCAACAATTTCATTTCTTCAGACAAATTTAACACAACAACAGAAGTATATGGCCAAGTGAATATACCAAATTATTTAAAATTATAACTTATCCTGGAAGTATGATTAAGAAGTTCTTTTTTTGAAGCTCAGGATTAATTTTAAATCTAATAAGAAATATTTACTTTCTGCTCTCTGGAAACTATTGACCTCAGTGAAAAAAAGGCCTCTGTGGCTTAACTTCACCACCATACTTTTTACAACTGCTTAAAATCTATTTAAAGAAAAAGGCACTCCGAGGCATGAGCGAAATTTCTATAAAATTTGAAGAAAAAAAAGTAAAATGTTTTTATTAGAAAAACTAACCTGCTGATTGTCTGTCTCTGAAACGCCTGAACCAGAATCTTGGAATTCTGTCACCTGCAGTCGAGCCCTGGAAAGCGTTTTGAAAAGTTCTTTCTGACCTCGGGCCAATCGACGGTTTTGTGTTGTTGTCGTTGTTGTTGTTATTATTTTGAATGTCGTCAACATTTGCGCTGACATTGTTTTCTTTGTTGTTGACGTTGACGGTGTAGGAATAAGAGCCATTATTGAAAACTGCTGCTTCAGATGTGGGCGATGCCGTGCTTTGACCGCACTCAATTGTCTTGGCAACTGTTGGAAATATGAAATAATTCAATTTTAATTTGAATACTTTAAAAGGCATATGCTGGTTGCTTCATATATGTTGATTTCAGCGCACATTTCTGAGCATTTTTCGTTTAATCCAATATGCAACGCAATTTTTGCCATTTCCATGGGCGATAAATTAATCTATTGTAACATTGATCGGTAAAAATTGTTTATCACATTTCGGCTTTGATTTAATTCTCGTCCGAAATCACCAATCACTTAAAAAACAAGTTACTGATGCAAGATTCCGACGTCCTGACTTCCGAGAAATACCGGATAATTTCTAGAAAGAAGAAACCCATCGCCGATTCCGAATGCCAGCATGGAAAGAATGATTCTAAAATCAATCTTCCTAGAAAGAAGTTTTCAATGTATAACAGCAACATCCTTTTATTTCACTGCTAACATTTTTTTTTTCAAAATGAAATGTGTAATGCGTTGAAACAACAAAGGAAGAGAACCTCTGCAGGAGTTAAAATGGCAATTGCTGATGCTTGATAAAAGTTTGCAAATATAGATGAAGGTCTTCAAAAAGTAATTAGTGTCAATCGAACAAAGATGTAGAGAATCCGGATGTAGAAGCTACGCAAACAAAAGCGAAAAGAGGAATTCATATTCTTCAATGTCGTCAGCAAATCCTTACTGGAGAAAATCATTTAACGTTTATTTGTGGTATTTCTCAACTAAACTCTGAAGAATACCCACTGAAACTTATAGATTCGATGCTTATTAATACTTGACTGAAAACGGGCAAAATGCCACAGAAAATTCTTCTTGCCACATTTAAAAAATTTAATTTTCAGATATAAAAAGATTTTATTTAGAGCTGTTAACTATTCTTTTTCAAGATATTGGAAATAATGGACAGTAATGAAGGTTGGCTCGTGGAGTCGTGGGTCATACTTATAAATGAAGCAATTTACAAATAGATTTATTCTGAGATTCATGATTACCCAAAACTATTAATTCAATTGCAGGCGTTATTACTAAGGGCTTCTGATCGCAATGCAATTTCAATTGAAGGTTGTCCTGTAGTAGCCAAATCAACCTCTAATCATTAAAAAAATGAGATATAATTTAAAGCATGATTGCTCACTTTAATAACACTTATTATAAGCGACAGAAGAGCATATCAAAATCTTTGTTGTCATATTCAAGACCCGTTTTTAAAAATGTTGAATTTTGTTGCTGTGTATCACTTTACAATTTTTGAAACTGACTCCCACTTACAGGATTATGTATCCGAGTAAATAAATTGCGTTATTTAAATGTACTGAAGTTCAACTTCGATATCGACCACACGGAGAAAATACTTTGAAATGAACTTTTTGCGCAAATTGAACCGGTTAATAAAGTGGGTTGAAAAAGTCTGAGTATATGAAATAATTACTTTTTACGCGTCAATTTTTTTGCGTTTGATGTCTCCATGTTACTTACAATTGACTGCTGGCTGGCAATTGGCGAATAAAGTGGCAATCGAAAGAAAGATGAACACTTCATTGATCGCGTTTATCGATGAGCAACTTTGATTGCGACGCATTTTTGGCACTGCGTTTTCGTCTTTTATCACTTGACTTTTCCGTTTGTGATTGGAAAAAAGAAAGAAAAGGAAAACGTTTCCAATCAGCACGGAGAAAAAATATGTTTCTTTCGCCGAATAAAGAGCGAAAAAAAATTAATCCAAGTAAAGATTTTCTTGTCTGGTGGATAAATCGAAATAAAAAAATGTCTCGCGGCTAGTCTCTGACACAGAAACAGAATCACAGTGACTATCCACAAGTCGACCTAGTTATACGTTGGATTGAGTTCTCTCCTATATCCACGATGAGTTCCCCACTTTGTATATTACACTCCATCATGTTGGCGGCTCTTGTACTCGCATTATTTCACTTTCAGTTTTTTTTGTGGTTATTTTGTCTGCTAGTTACATTTTATTCACTTATATTGGTACGTATATATTGTGCCGGCGTTTTCCCGCGTGAATCGGGTGAACACTGAGTCGGGAATGAAAGCTTCGCTCGGGAAAGCTTCATTTCTTTGTCATTGTCTCTTCTTTCTTCTGGATTTTAATTTTTTTTTGTGCTTTGACTCGTTTTTTTTTCCGGATATCTCTGCCTGCGGGATATCTGCAGTCGATTCACGGTTGTCACTGAGGAGGATTGTGATTCTCGACGAAATGTTTAGTTGCATGGCTTTCTATGTCAATGTCGTGGAATCCATGAGAAGCTTTTGTGTTGGATGCGGTGTGTTTGTTGAGGCGTGCACGAAATTTCTTGAAAATTCGTTGTTCTCCGATTTCAGTTAGGCATGAGAATACTGAACGTCCTTTGTGCTGCAATCTTGACGGGAACTTCAACCTTGACATCTTGGGCGAATATAAGACAGATTTCGGGGGGGGGGTTAAATTTTGTTCTACTATAACAGATTTCCTTAAAAATTTGTCTTTCGAATTGAATTAAATTCTGTGTAAATGCAACCTTTCTGGCCAAAATCAGACGGTTTTTATCAACATAGAGTTGTCAAACATGATTTAAAAGTCAGAGTGGAGGCCAAATTTTTTTTGTTGCTGAAAAAATAAAGTGTTTTCTCGATTGAAGCTGCGTGAAATCTATTCCTTGATTCGACCAAATATTTTATTTTTGATACAATTTTATGAATTTTTTCTCTCCAAAATATTTCAGAGAAAATTTTATAAATCGCAATAGATGTGATGAAAACGGAGAAAATTACCAAAGAGCGACGTTACATAGAATTGGAAAAATTGCATTGGTACAATGAAATTTAGATGATTGAGTGAATTTTTGGCATTTTTGCCGAGACATTAAAAATTATTATACAACGTGGTAGAAAATTGGTTGTTACAGAAGCTTTTTGCAATGCAGCACTCATGAGCGTCGGAGAAGCAGACGAGCTCCATAAATTTCTTAGGACTGCCTTTTTGGCACAAACTCTGTCACGAAGTTTCCAGTCTGAAGGATTTTACAAAAATCTTCCTCAAATTTTAAGAGCTTTATAAGTGCTACCTAACTAGAAAAAATACCTACGTTACCCTTTCTTATAAACCTCCCAAGTCCAATTTAGACTCTCTGGAAATATGACGCTTTTGTTTCAGAGAAAGCTTTTGAAATTAATGATTTTGAGTAAGACTATTGATTCCCTAAGTGCACAGCGAACAAATGAACTTTAAAAGATAGCGATAGGAAATAACTGGATTTGTCTCTTTGAAATGCCGAAACCATTCTTACCTTTAGAGGTTTGTATACTGAATTTTGCCAAACTGCCTTGAAGGCAACAAGAAAAGAAATTTTTTTTAAATCTAGTGGTTTTCCACTCTCAAGAAAAGCTAGATTCTAAGAAGAGAAGGAAGAACTTCTATAAGAAGGAAGATGATCTGCCTAGAAATTTAGTGCCAACTAAAAGTAAGAAAAAAAACTGGGGTCACAATTTAACAGTGGAAAATACCATCTCAACACAGCACATTAAATATTCATTTGTCTTGCACAGTATACAACAACTCTTGACAGTCTTGCAAGAAACTGATATCTTATCCAAAGAGTTGTGGATCTCAATATATGGTAAACTCTTGATTCATTTCCAGAGTATCAAACCCCCGGCTGAAAACCGGCTGATAATATGCACAAATGCCTTGCACAAAAATGTGTACAGTACAGTATATGGTTTTATAGCTCTCAGCTGTTGAAAAGAATTAAGGTGCAGTATATTCAGGCCTTTGATGTGACCTGTGATGACAGCGTCTTCATAATTGCTATCATTTCTTTGTCTTCAGCTTCATTCTTTGTAAAGGAAAGACACCAAAGTTTGGCTATAACAGCAGGTAACATGCTTCAAAGAGACCAAGGCAACCTACTCCTGTTAATCTGAATTTGTGAGTAAGGAAAACTGGGTTGCTGCATTCCTGGACCAGGAAAAGACTGCTCAGTTGAACTTTGTAAGTTTGGATAGCAATTTACTGTTCAAGCCTTGGATGGCATTGGTTTCCTCACCGTCTTGTAACAGAGTCTGGGTTTCTCTCCAAATAGACACATTTTGACTTGACCAAATGTGACAAGAATGCAGCCTGGGAAGATGAGTAGCCAAAACCTTAAAAGTAAAACCTCTTTCTGGTGGTGCCCAACCACACCTGGGCATCAAACATTTTCAACTTTCTTAAGAGGTTTGAATTTCTCATCTATTAGGATTGCATGTTATTTTAGCTTCATCACCCAGTTCACAATTTTCTCATGAGCTCAGGAATTTTGTTCATTAATCCTTGGATGGCAGCAGGTCAGATTCCATCCTACGGTGGTGCAGGGATATTATTGCAGGCTTGCGCATTTTGGTTTGACCAAATGTCACTGAATTGCAGCTTTTGCTGTGTAGCCAAAGTTGGGAAAATTCAAGGAAAGGGTATGCTATTGTTTACAAAATCTTTCAATGCTAATCCTTTGGCAGGAATGCAGAAAAAAAGCCACCCAAGAGCAACTTTCTTCTTTTTTTGACAATTTTTTTCCTGAAGGAATACTAAAAAAAATTTGGAATTTTTCCAGATTGCGGCTCTTCTGATCATTCTTTCCTTTTTTCAGTGCAGCACACAATATTTTGAATAAATCCTGGCACTGCTGATGCCCAAGGGCTAAATCCCAATCCAATTAGAAAGTCTTCCACATAACAACTTCCTAGCAAGTTTTTCTTCACTCAGTATTTCAAGCAGGAATGCATGAAAAATCTCATAAGTATATCACACCAGTACATGAAAAATTTCATCTTGAGTATCAGTGCAGTCAACCCCCAGTTAACGGTTTTAGTTGATTCTGCACAAGAAAACGTTATCTGAAAAAAACGTTAACCAAGGGAGTCTTTCCCTTAAGAAATAAGGGAAAAACGTTTAATTGGTGCCAGGAAAAATTTTCTTAAGGCAAAAATCAGAAAAAATTAATCAAAGAGTGTATTTCAACAACTGAGCTTTATGCACTGCCATTACATTCAAAAAGTAACCACAGTTCTTAACTCAATGAAAATCAGAGATTCATTTTAATCACACAAAAAGTCACTCATCAGAGTCCCTTGAGTCATTTGCCCTCTTGCAGGGCTGAGATTTGTGACCTGATGGCCCAGCTTGGTCCATTGATGGCCCAGCTTTGTCAGGAGAGAAGAAACTTTTGATGGTTGATTGCTTCTCCCTACTTTTGAGAATGGCAGTTAAATGCCTTCCACACACAGAGTCCAGAACATCCAAAGCTTGTTGAACTTGAATGTTGTTGGGATGTTGTTCTTTGAAGATGGTTTGGACTTCATTCCACTTGGTGAGAGTCTCCTTGATGACAGTTGACTTGAGGGCCAATTTTTCATCATCACCAAAAGGCAATCTGAAAAATTCAGAAATAATGAAAGAGTGTAAAACAAGTCATTGCATGAAGAACAATTTAAAAACACTGAAAAGGCCTCCTTACTTGAAGAATTAGACACTCAAGACTTGGGAGTGGATGAGCTGAGGGACATGGCAGCTGAAAAAGCTGAGTGTCTTAGACACTCAAGACTTGGGAGTGGATGAGCTGAGGGAAATGGCAGCTGAAAAAGCTGAGGTTCAAAGAAATATCAATGATTTGATGGCACCACAAAAAAAGTAAGGAGGCCTTTTCAGTGTTTTTAAATTGTACTTCATGCAATGACTTGTTTAACACTCTTTGGTGTTAAAATACACTCTTTGATTAATTTTTTTCTGATTTTTGCCTTAAGAAAATTTTTCCTGGCACCAATTAAACGTTTTTCCTTTATTTCTTAAGGGAAAGACTCCCTTGGTTAACGTTTTTTCCAGATAACATTTTTTTGGACAGAACCAACTAAAAACGTTAACCAGGGGTTGACTGTATCTACATATGGGTCAGTATTTGCAGTGAAGAGAATTAGTAAGGGTGTATAGTACCATACAACCAGCGAGGCTGATGTATAGCACTATATGTGCTTTTATTGCTCATTTCTAGCCCAATTCCTGCTAAAAAAAAAAATTCAACATCCATTTAATATCCGTGGGGGAACAGGCCGAGTTAGCTGCTTAGTTGCACTTTTTTTTCATTGCTTGTGTGATATATATACAGTACTGCAGAGTGCAGACTATATGCACTGCTGCAGCAAATAATACGCAGGCCGACGTATACTGTGTATTTATTTGAACGGGGGCGTTTGCTCCTGAGGTTTCTTATTTCATGATGAGCCCTCATCGTACTAACTCACTCACGTCGTCATGCTGATGACGATAATTCATGCGGGACCATAATGTTATTGGGCGGGGTGGGGTTCACTCAGGGCTGCTGGTGATTCCTTCGTCATGATGGCCGTGGTGCGTGGATGTGCGTAATGCAGTACTGTACTGTACATCATTCGAGAAACGTTGGTTCCAAGGTTCCAAATGCGAATACGAGCGGCATAATGCAGGTATCATCATCATCATGCGCAAGACGTGATCCTTTCGGGCGCGCGATCTCGGCCTTATTGCGACATCTCACCGCCCGGCTATTATTATAGACGCTCGGCTTGTGTCACACGCCACTAAAATCTACTTACGATAGATGCCAGTCTCCTAAAAGAAGAAAAGCGGGAAAAAAGTACCTCATCATGAGTAAGGCACGCACCCCGCGCCTGACGACCAACTGCTTGACGGCATACAGCACCCAGCACAGCACTTATTCATCCCACCTGTATCTCACTCTCCTACTCTTTCTTTATTTCCCTCTCTCTCTCTCATCTTCTTTACTGTTGGATGTATCATCTATGCAAGTACTGTACTTCACCTTATTTACATGCGCAGTGCAAAACTTGATGTTGTGTTATTTATACAGGTGGTGGTGGTGATGATGATACTGGCGGTAACCAAGACTCCCCCATCAGCTCCTCGCAGACTATGGAGACGGCCAGTCGGTGGCGACCCGAAGAAGGTCTCGCCGCCCTCTCGCAGGCCACCAAGTTCTCACGCAGCGAGCTGAAGCTCATGTACCGCGGCTTCAAGCAGGAATGTCCGACGGGGCTCATGACGGAGCTCGAGTTCCGCGACATCTACGCCAAGTTTTTCCCCATGGGAGGTAATAAGCATTACATGTAATGCATAGCCATGATGATGGTTTTCGATGCGTTGTATATTGTCTCCGATGATGCATATCTGTAGACTGCTCGCAATACGCCAAATACGTGTTCAGCACGCTCGACAAGGAAGGCGACGGCGTCGTGTCCTTTGGCACCGTCATCCGCGTCCTGTCGCTGCTCTTCCGCGGCTCTGTGCACGACCGTCTCCACTGGCTCTTCAGGTGAGTGCTGCCGAGTAAGCCGTCCAACAGTACAGTAAAGTGTATTACATTTACCTCTATATATAGTCTTACGCAGACTGCTTATCTTTTTCCCGTATCATATGAACGTATGTACAGTACAGTAATTATTTACAGTTTACTTGATCAAGCTTAATCATTCTCTCATCGTTGATCAAAAATTAGGAAAAGCTCTGCGGCAAAGTGAATAAAAGAACGTTCTCAACTTCAACATGCAGAAAATAAGAGTGCAAAAGAAAACCATGTATGAACAGATCTCTTTTGGCATAAAAAAAAAAGGTCCCGAAATGCGCCAAAAAAAAGAACAAGAAAGAAGCACAAACCTTCCTATATACAGTAATGTGCAGCACAGATAATGGAGCTGATGGAGACCAATGACAAAAATATGCACAAAAAGTATACCGTATAGTCTGCTTTAATCGCGGATTATTATGACGTGAATAGTTAATTTGAAGAAAATACTTACTTATTTATTTTTATTTTATTTTAGAACAGCATGAAAAGTTGAGTATTTTCAAGACATAACAAAATGTTGAAACGAATTTTTTATTTCCATTCCTGACATTGATGGTCAATTATTGTCCAGCATACAGTTTCTTGATGTTGTGTCAGATTTTTGCCGAGTTATCAAGTGCTGGCCTTAAGTTGAACACCAGGAGATGCACATATACAGTATATGTATCCTGTATATGTTACATGCGTATGTGTGAGGAACTTGAGTGGCTGTGTTACTGTGATGTGTTTGTTCCGTGTCTCTTATTGTGCATATCTACTGTTGGGTTCGTGTGGTGGTGTTCCCAAACAAACAAACAAATCCACATGATGATGCACCCATTACCTGAATATAGCCTGTACGACGTGAACAGAGACGGGTTCATCAGCAGGGCGGACGTGGCCGACGTGGTAGAGTCCATCTACGGGATCCTGGGCTCGGGCAACACCGTGCCCCAAGTGGACGAGGCGGGTTGCAGGCAGCACGCAGAGCGGGTTTTTCTGGTCAGTCGTCATCATCACCCCATGTATTCATTAAAGTCCTCTCTAGCTATTGCCTATGCACGCAATGACGATGATGATGATGACGATCCGCTCATTGACTTATTGTTATTATTATCATTATTATTTCAATACCCCCTCCCCCCCCCCTCCCTGCGCGGCATGATGCATACATGATGTGGAATACGATTTGCAGAGGCTGCTGAGCAGAAATAATGCAAGCAGCAGCAGCAGCAGCGAATTCATCTCGGAGCGGGACTTTGTTGAACACTGTTTGAAGGTGAGCACGTGCGTTATTATTATTATTATTATTATTATTATTGGAGTGACTCTGATTGGAAAGAGTGTGTCAGATTCCAGATAGAATGAGAGGAATGGCAGTTGAGGAATAAGATGGCCATCAAACATTTTTTGATGTTAATGAGCTGCTCTGATTGTGAATGAATGAATGAGCAGCAAGCATGCATTAGCTGCTGCGGGAGCTTATATGAATGGTCGAGTTTTTCCCAAGTTTTGGGGTAAACAATTCATATTGGTTTCCTTCAGCAATGTCAAGTTATTTTCCTGCCACCCAAGCAATAACATATTTTTGTGTTTAATGTATGCTGGTGAAGGGGTCCTGATTAAACTCTATGTGAACTATATATACAGCATATATACTGTACGACTATATATATCCCACTTTCCCGTGAGGATCCCTTATTGATCTTACAATTATAAATCAGGTATACATATATACTCACTGTACAGCTTGCAATAGAGTGCTGATTTAAAATTCTGTAGTAGTTTAGACTTTAGGGAACACATTGGTAAATGTGAACCAACGACGCCGCTCGTGTATATACTGTATATATATATATATCTCCTGCTGCTGCATGCGGGTAGCATATATATGCATGCTGAATATATACTCCGACATTCAGCAGATGCAGTATACTGCATGATGCACAATACTGTAATGAAACTACTTTTTTCATCCGTTCGTTTTCTTTTTCAGGATGTTCAGCTCCAAGAGTCTCTGGGCGTGTTTGACGACCCTTGGTGATGATGATCAATCAAATCCGTGCTGATGAACGTGTGCCGATAATTCAAGCGAGGGTGCTGCACTTACTATAGTAGCTCGAACTGAGGAAAGAAAACTGGGGAAGAAAGCAGGCGAGTTTGAAACTTGCTTTGTATTTCGACTGTGCTTAATTTGGGAAGAGAATATATAAGTTAGTCGACCGCAAATAAATCGATGGATGGATGGGTTGTATTGTACGAGGGTTGTTTCATAAGTCTTGCTACCGTTTCAAATAGTTCCAACAGGGTTCGGTCGATTAAATTTTCCTTTTTCCACCCACATAACCTCGTCGTCGTCACGTGGCAACGCTTTAATGCTGTCCAACATACTCTCCGCCAATTTCAATGCACTTTTTCATGCAATAAATCCAACTATGAAAACAGTGGCGCCAGGAAAATTTCAGTCTGAACTTGATTTTCCTCGCTTTTTTACTTGTTGGATTTATAGCATGAGAAAGTGCATTTAAATGGGCGGAGAGTAGGTTGAACGGGCCTAAAGTTTTGCCGCGTTTGTGGATATGCTGCGAGTAAAAAAAAAAAAAATTTTATTTTTTCAAATTGATCAAACTCTGTTGTGTCTACAGTATTTTAAATAGTCGCAAGACTTTTGAAACCACCCTCTTATTTTATACATCGATCGTATCGCAAAGAAAGGCAAGTGCAGCGTATAGATGCTGCTTGCTATATTGGCCCGCCTGTGATAAGAACAGCATCATTATGTGAAGAAACGAAGAACAACTTTTAATTTCTCTGTTCAAGGTGCTAGAATGTTGTAGACAGCAGACGAAGGGTCATTCAAATGTTGGTGAATTTGTTCGTCGCAACGATGATCATTGATTGAGGGATATATATAATGTACATTATGCACTTGCGTCGTGGATTGATTTCCTTGGTATATGCTGCGTCATCGATATCGTATTGTGATACTCAAAAGCACGTACTGCAACTAATACCAGGGTTTGTTCATAAGCCTCGGCAATTTTGGAATAGATTTAACAGTGTTTCAATAACATCACTTCCAAAATTGCTTACGCTCACATAGCTCCGTCATTCGAAAATACTTGAGTTCTGTTCAACATAAACTGTTTCCTCCACCAATTTCAAAGAATTTTTCATGCAATAAATCTTATACTACCCAAATTTTTAATGAAGGGTGTTTTTGACCCTTGGGCAGTGGTGGGTTATTCTGCAGTGTGAGATGATGCCGGTATTTTTTGCCGGCTCCTGCATTTTGGTTTGACCAAAGGTCACCAATATGCAGTTTTGTCTATAAGAAGCCAAAGTTGGGAAAAATTCAAAAAAAGGAGAGTCATTGTCCCAATAATCCTCGAAGCTAATCCCATGACAGGAATGCAGAAAAAATGCCACCCAGCAATAAATTTTTCTTTTTTTCTTGCAAATTTTTCTGCAGGAATGATGAACAAATTGGGATTTTTCCTGACTTTGGCTATTCTAATATTTTTTGTTTCCCCCTTTTTTCTAATTCCTGGGGCACAAATTTTTTTTCCGAATCCCGGCACTGCCACCCATAAGGGACTATGAGATTGAGGGAACTCAAGTGCCCAAGCAATTATGCAGTTTGTAAGCCGTTTGATGCCCAGGGAAAAATAAGAGAGAACAACATTCACCTGTGAAGTTTTACAATGAGACAGATACATTTTCTCACATTACACAAGCATTATATGCACCACTAAATAATAAGCATCAGACTTTCGCAGGTTTTTCACATTCAAAACAAGTCCTGAAAACCATCAGGAAAAATTCCAAGATACATTTTGCATTATGCTATTTGCAATGCAAACGTCCAAAGTCAATCTTTTGGTCAAAAGGTAAGGTTTTTGGTCAAAAGGAAGTGATGAAAGAAATGCAGCCTTCAAAATTTAGATTGTAAAGTTGTTCACATTTCTTGTTTTTAAAATGTTGCCCATACCTTTTCTTATTTGTGATATCTTCAATTTTGCAAAATATACTTTTCAACAAAGCTCATTGCTGATAAAATAAACATCAGGCATCGTCTCAGATGAAAATCGGCCCAGAGAAAATAAAAGAAAAGCCACCAGTGGCACAGAACAAAGTTGAATAAGTAAACTCCACCAGGCGCTCAAAGAAATTGTATTTATTTCTCAGTGACAATTCCACAACCAAAACAGTCTTGAAATTGAGTACTTATATACAGTACTGTATAGTAGATTAAGCTGATTTTCAATGACTGAAATGCAGCTGCCCCTCTGCTGCTGTCCTCAAAATCAATCTCATTTCAGGTTGGTATTCACTATATACGGGTACCACCAGTCAGAATCGCAGCAGGGTGCATATATAATCCCACCCATCCCTGAGCTTAGCTCTTCATCACAGAGATGTTTTTTTCCACTCTCAAAAAGAAACAATTCAGGTTGCACTCAGACCAGAACCCGCAAAACTTTCATAGACTATATAGAGCATGCAAATAAGTCCCCAGCTGCTCTTGATCAATTAACTTCACTTGAGTGATAATGGAGCCTGATGGGCATTCGCCTTGAGGCCTTTTGATGCTCGCTTCCGTCTGTATAGCTGGGTAGTGGCTCAAGCATTTCTTCCTGGACACTGACGAAGGATTGAAGACGAACAAAAGGAAAAAGAAAAGCGTCTGCCTTTTACGACTGCAATAAATCGAGTGACTTATTATGAACCAACCCTCCTATATAAACAGGTACCGCGGCATCAGCATCTTTCATAATTGGCGGATCATCAAATCACCAGCTGTCGGTCGTCGCCTGGTCGGTAATGTCGAATAAGAACAAGCTGATGCTGCGATGAGGACGACGTCCCGCGCATTTCGTTTACTCCTCTTTATTCCCTTCTTTATGTTTCGCACCTCTCATTCCTGCTCGTACAGTATATTGTATATACAGTACTCATATAAGATGATGCTCAAGAAAGACTCATCGTCTGTCATTTATAATACCCGATACAGTAATTGCATTTATATGCTGTGTATTAGTACAGTACAGTACAGACTTCAGAACAGTGCAGTACAGTGTACAGTATATACATGGAATATATAGAGACTTTGCAGCGTCAACTGGGTTTCACTGATCAGCAGAGCGCCACCACTTGATTCTTACATATTACACTTGATTCTTCCAGATGATCGCAATGAACATTTCAGCAATAACAAAAACAACAACAAGTAATAACGATTTATGCTGCGTTTTATTTTCTCGCACTCGAGTTTTTTTTTTTCGTCATTTTCCTAACGAGTTTAGCCGGACAATTGAGTATCGTCCTCCTACATCAAGCTATATACGCGGAGATTTTCAAAATATCCCATGACCTTTTATAGTACTGTAACACGTACCTCGCAAAAACGATGGCTGCATCAGCACATGCGTGAGTTGCTTCAGTTGATTTCTGCGCTTCTTATTGTAGCATATAAAGTGCATGTGAGGAAATTAGGCGGAAAATGGTTTTCAGTTGATGCCGCTGCATGTAAGCAGCAGACGGATGACTAATATGAGTATTGTATGCATAGGTATATTGTGTGAGTTGATGTATGCACGCGTAATCAGCAGCAGCAGCAGAAGTCTGTTTATTTATTCGTCATTGTAGATCCATCTGGATCATCATGCTGCATATATGAGAAATGAATGAATCAATGAATGAGAACGCGGGGAGCAACAGATAAGCAGCGAGAGCGTTTCGATTCACCAGCAGTCAGTCAGTGCATGCTTGTGTCTCTTTTTTTTCGCCCGTGTCCTGATGATGGTGCTGGCCGAAAGTCGACCGACATCCGCATATTTTTGTACAGCATGCAGATAGTCACTATGACACCGTCGTATTTCTTTTTCTTCTTTGTGTTGGTCTTGTCGTTGCCCACGTGTTTGTTCGGCTTGCCATCAAATAATAATAATAATAATAATAATAATAATAACTGCACTGGATGCCATCATCATGACAAGGGCGACGACGATGAAGCAGCAACAGCTGCTGCTGCAGCTGATGGTGACAAAGAGCCTGAGATGATGAGGCGGTTTTTCTCCATCGACTGGGTTAACGGCACTTTCGTCAAGGACGGTCGCCCCGGGTTCAGAATCGTATCCGGCTCGTTGCACTACTTCCGAGTGCCTCGGGCCATGTGGTCCGACCGGCTGGCCAGGGCTGCAGCGATGGGCCTCAATGCCGTGTTCACCCCGGTGCCCTGGAATTGGCACCAGCACCAAGGCCCAGGCCACTTTGACTTCCAAGGCGACCGAGACCTTTTCCAGTGAGTATATAAGCACTCTTTTTCCTATTTACTGTATATCATGTAAATACGGTATATTAATGTTTTATGTTGTGCGGTGTGCTCAACTCGTGTACTGTACGTGATTCCATTTCTTTCAATTTGGAGACACAATAAAGAGGCAGGTTAAATGACCTCTGATGATTGGTGGAAAATCTTCATCATGTGTACAGTATCGTCGTTTGTTCTCCAAAAAGAGAGAGTGAAAAGTTACACATGGGTTTCTACTACGGCAATACTGATTGAATAAATGTACAGTACAGAACTGTACATTTTAGTGCTTCACGTGCATTATAAGTCTCAATTAGCTTATACAGATGGAAAGCCCGGGAAATGTCTGGAATAAAGTGCATGAGGCTATATATAGAATACTGTATAGAAGAATACGGTATTTTTCCAATTCCCTGTGATGGAAAGAAAATGCAGTGATGTAAGCAAAAGTGGATAATCAAAGAGGACTGTGTGCTTTGTGCCCATACTGCGGCAGTACAGTACAGTATAATATAATTATGCAGTGGAACAGTAAGGTGGGGCACGGACAACCTTTGAGAAAAAGAAAGTACAAACGAGAAGAAGAAAATTGATGATGGCGGCTCTGCTGTAGGTTCTTGCGGTTGGCCCACGCTCATGGCCTCTTGGTGCTGCTGGGCATCGGTCCGGGCATCAATTCTGACTGGGATGCCGGCGGGATCCCGGCCTGGCTCCTGTTCAACGACACCCCCACGCTCTCCACACGGTCCACACTATCAGCCAAGTTCACCCAGCACGCAGAGCACTACCTGGCCCACTTGCTGGCCAGACTCCGGCCTCTACTCTACAACCTGGGTCGAGGGCCGGTGGCCATGCTCCAGCTGGACAACCGATACGGGTCTTTCTCGGACGTGGACCCCAGATACATGCCCTGGCTGGTCGGTATTGTGAAGCGGCATTTGGATGAAGGAATAGGCAACAGTGCAGGTAAATCAGTGGATGAGGATGACGAGGATGATGATGCCGATGAGTCATCCTTGTCATCATCTCCATTATCGCTGGTGATGATGTACACGTCGGATGCTGGTGACTTGGCCAGTCTGGCCCGGGGATCGGTGGCAGGGGCGCTTCCGGGCGTGGACTGCAGCAGCATAATAAGTCAAGCGAATTCTGATGCTGACGACCTATTCAATTGCTTCGCGAACCTGACGAGGTTGAGGCCAGGTTTCCGAGGCCCGCTTTTCAACACGGCCTTCCGCACCGATGACGACAACTCGCCCTTTTCCACAATCAACAGCATTGACGACGACGACGATGACGATGACGTCATCAAGCTGGCAGCCAGGCTGGAGACCTGGCTTTTGGCCAACGGGTCCAGTGTGTCTGTCAATGTGGATCCGGTGCACGGAGGCACGACGTTCGGCTGGTGGGCCGGGGGTCGGGTGCTGGACCACGGCACGGACTACAGACCATCAATCAGTTCAGTAGGCCAGGAAAACGAGTATTGTGGTCGGGCCCCACTGGCCCAGAATGGTGACTGCGGCACAAAGTGCGTGTTGCTGGCCAATGTCATCCGTCGTCATGCTGCTGCTGCTACTGATGGCCAGCAGCAGTTATTGCTGCAGCATCGACAACAATCAGAGGAGAATGCTGTTGGCTTGTTGTTCCCGGTCATGCCACTCAACAGGACGCAAATGGCCTACGGCACTTTTATGCTCAGGTGTCTGATTATGATGATGATGCGCAAGCTGTGCTCAACAACTTGTGTCTACAGTAGTGTGTGCGTGTGTGTGTGTACGTTCATGTCCGCAGTCTTCATTTGAGTAAATACTAATGTAGGTAGAATATTGGAAAGATATGAAAAATTTTTAAAGCCAGCCATCATTAAAAAGTTGAACAGCTTGTACAGAGCTGTACAGTTGAACCTCTCCAAGTCAAATTGTTAGTGACCGGGAAAAAATTGACTTTGGGAGGTTTGTTTTTTGAGGTCTTCAGTTAAGGAAACAATCACTTTTCTTGCAAGGATAAGTAGAAAAAAAAAGATTTGCAGGAAATTGTGAATGAGGGTATTCTGAGTTTGAAGCTTGCTACTGGACTTGGACTCAGGGGTTCATTTTTTCAATTTGTCTCTCACTTCCTTTCAAGATGCATAACATAATGCGTTCCATCCATTTTCTCTTTCATATTTCAAGAAAATAGTAACCAAAAGGCCTCAGAAAATTTGTTTGGTGGGCTGGGGATTGGAGAGACCAAGCACTGCCCAGCTGGCTGGTGGTTGGAGGGACCGGCATTTGACGGCTGGCGGGTGCGCAACCATGAATTGACCAGCAAGCGGCTGACCCGGTACCATACTGCTCACATCCAGTGTCTTTGTTTGGGATCCAATGGGCCCATGACAGGGATCATGCTTATAAAAGAGTCTCATATCTCAAACCTTTGGTTGCAAAGATTATGCTGAAAATGCCCAAAGAAAGTTTTTATCAATTACAGAGCCAACTTATAGAAAATGAAGATTGTATTTTATGTATCTCGCGTTCATGTATATACAGCAGAACAGTATATAAATACACGATGTACATGAGCATGTATATATACAGTATATGCAATATGATTAAACTATGCGAAGCCGGCGTTTTTTCTGCTGTGAATATCTATGGTCACGATTGGTGTTGGAGCTGCTGTTGTTGCTGTCGACGATGTGGTCAACTGGGCAAAGCAGAGCGGGAAACACGCCGCCGACTGGAACTCGAGCAGCACCACCTCGTTTTCCTGGCCCGGTCCCAACAGCATGGACGCAGGCACGAACAGCTTCCTTATTCTTCTTTTCCTTGGTCCTTGAATAAGCTCATTGTGGACGTCATCCAATGATGATGAGTAATACCTGCCGAGAGGGACGCCGTTGAGGAACGCCAGTCCGTGCTGGAAGGCGGTTGGCACCTGGAGGAACGTGTCAGCAACAGCACCAACTGGATTCATCGAGAATAAGGTAATTCTTGCCATTTTCACAAGTTGTATTGTATAGTGAATGTATGCAGTACTGAATATACCCTGCGGCGGTAAGTCTAGTTGGAAGGAGAAAAGAGCTGGTAACATGACGGGTTTTGCTCTTATTGCTGATAATAATGCTGCTCGTATTCTTCTTCTTCTTTTCTGGTCTGCTCGAAGAGGATGACCTGCGATGTGCTGAATCTGCTGATTGATGCGGCTGATGTTCATGTGGCCCAGTCCAAGTCTGTGCATGGTCCAGCCAGACGGTGTGTCCCCGTCGATGATTACGACGAACATGCCCTTCACGTCTGGTCGTCCCGAGCTGTCCCTGCCCGTGTTTTCGACCATCACGCTGTAATATGTACGAGGGTTATCGGCTCGTGATAGATGAATAGTCAAATGTCGTCACTGCTGGAGGTGGATGCAAATTTTTCTTTTGCTCCTCAATCCTGAATGGGTGTCTAAAAAATGTTTCATGTACTACTCAGCTACGGATGGAAACAAGAAAAAGACCTCAAAGTCAATGAAGTGCACTGAAGTGAAGTTTAATGGATCAAGAGGCGAGCTGCGCACTTGAATGCTCAACAATAAATATTGATCCATTAAAGTCCACTCCAGTGCACTTCATTGACTTTGAGGTCTTTTTCATGTTTCCATCTTTTTAGCTGAGTAAGCAATGAAGCATTTATTAGACAATAATTAATGGTTGAGGAGCAAAGGAAACAATTGAATCCGCCTTCAACGACGGCATTTGGCTGTTTATCGTCTTTTATGAACCAACACAGGTATGTGTGCTTACCGCAGTAGGATCAAAGCCGACATATTGAGTATGTAATTTTTCGAGTATGTTATTAATTTTGGAGGATACTCGCACGCACAGTTTCATTCGAATAATCAAGTGGAATAATAAAGAGCAGGAATAATTTTAAGTGTATTATTAGACGGTCTTGAAAGGAAAAAAAGAAAAGAAAAATAAAGACGGCGATTGATAAAAGAGGAAGAATTGGCAAGATGAAAGGAATATCGATGCACAGCAGATATATTTTAATGAGTGCAGAAACGTTGACCGACCCCAGAGAGTCGCCGGCCTTGGCAGGAGCAGGCAGTCGGGCCACTGTGTGGTCCCCAGTTCGGGCCAGCACCAAGCTGAGGCGGCCATTGATGAGCACAAAGGCCCGGTCTGCCAAGTTCTTGATCTGAAACCGCGTCCCCTCGTCGTAATTTCGGCGTAGGCGGCACACGTACAATACCAGGCCCTGTGCCTGGCTCAACTGCTCAAAGGACAGTGGCCATGGGGCCTGTACGACAGGGCCGTCTCGCAACCTGGATCTGGCGTCCCACACGGACGCCACGTACCTGCTCGTCTCCAGGACAAGGGCGATACGATGAGTATGGACAATATGGGCTATAATCTGCTGAGTCTATCATTATCATCACATGCGTAATAGGCAGCAGAATATACGAATGCATATGCGCGAATGTTCGAAATGTAAGGCTTCTTTTCAGTCGGTATTGAGGATGTATGCTGCTCAAGACCCTGAAGTGGTATACAGTACAGAGTTATAGCATGTATCCCTCCCTCATCAGCAACAACTTGTTATGCATGCACTCACTGTACATATAATTGAGGAGGGATTGAATGAATGAAAAATGCCTATGTTAAAGGAACAAGGTGTTTGCATTTAGTCACAATACTTGATCAAAGCTGACCCCTGTAATACAGTTGAACCTCTATATAAGTCAAAAGTTGAATACCTCCCAAACTCAAAAACTTTTGAAGTCTCCATATGAATTCCCTTTGAAAGAATGCATGAAAATCCTCTCTAACTTTGTATTTTTCTCCCAAACCTCTGCAAGTCAAATTTTCTGAGGCCTTTCGGTTACTATTTTCTTGAAATATGAAAGAGAAAATGGATGGAACGCATTATGTTATGCATCTTGAAAGGAAGTGAGAGACAAATTGAAAAAATGAACCCCTGAGTCCAAGTCCAGTAGCAAGCTTCAAACTCAGAATACCCTCATTCACAATTTCCTGCAAATCTTTTTTTTCTACTTATCCTTGCAAGAAAAGTGATTGTTTCCTTAACTGAAGACCTCAAAAAACAAACCTCCCAAAGTCAATTTTTTCCCGGTCACTAACAATTTGACTTGGAGAGGTTCAACTGTACAGCTCTGTACAAGCTGTTCAACTTTTTAATGATGGCTGGCTTTAAAAATTTTTCATATCTTTCCAATATTCTACCTACATTAGTATTTACTCAAATGAAGACTGCGGACATGAACGTACACACACACACGCACACACTACTGTAGACACAAGTTGTTGAGCACAGCTTGCGCATCATCATCATAATCAGACACCTGAGCATAAAAGTGCCGTAGGCCATTTGCGTCCTGTTGAGTGGCATGACCGGGAACAACAAGCCAACAGCATTCTCCTCTGATTGTTGTCGATGCTGCAGCAATAACTGCTGCTGGCCATCAGTAGTAGCAGCAGCAGCAGCATGACGACGGATGACATTGGCCAGCAACACTCACCTTGTGCCGCAGTCACCGTTCTGGGCCAGTGGGGCCCAACCACAATACTCGTTTTCCTGGCCTACTGAACTGATTGATGGTCTGTAGTCCGTGCCGTGGTCCAGCACCCGACCCCCAGCCCACCAGCCAAACGTTGTGCCTCCGTGCACCAGATCCACATTGACAGACACTTTGGACCTGTTGGCCAAAAGCCAGGTCTCCAGCCTGGCTGCCAGCTTGATGACGTCATCATCATCGTCATCATTGTCAATGCTGTTTATTGTGGAAAAGCCCCAACAACTGACAGACATGTGCAAGGACCCCCGACAACAGCGCATGGCAACCCCCTAACTGCGTAGTAATTCCTGGCTTGTGCAAGTCATAAAACAACACCTGCACATGCGCACACAGGTGTCCTACTTCCCTTCTGATCATACCCCCCTTAGGACACCATATATTTGGGTTCCGTCCTAATTCCTTCTATCCGTAAAATCGAGTCCTCTGTCACGTCAAGTCTTCAGTAGTCTAGGGACACAGAACACCAATTAACTTATGGGACACATATGACATCATTTGAATAAAGACTATTTTTGTCTGGTACAGACTTTAGTACTTGATCATTTCCAAACATTGATTAAAAGGAGATGCATGTACATCTCTACATTTCCAGGGATAACATATTATAAATTACATCCCAAATAACACTTGCATATTCTTTCATGTCTGGTATCAAAGCTAATGGGAGTTGCATTGTTGTGATGTTATAGTTCAACAGCACACACGGCCACAAAATAAATTTTGCCATCTCCAATATTTCCCTTGGGGAAAACTGGCAGCATGTAATTCATGGAACAATTTTCAAAGCTATGAAAATTATTGTTAATTTATGACTAAATGAATCATCAATTGTTTCATGAATAAAACAAGCTACAGCAATCAATATAGAAAGGAACATTAATCAAGAAGGATGATTCACCTGAGAAATGTGCTTGTTGCTGTTTCAAGCCACAAGCAAATTGAGGTTTTCAGACTCTTCCCCCCTGCCCTCTCAATTTTTCATTCCCCAAAATATTTTGGTTTGTTTAGTTGGAAATAATGTAGATGCTTCAGTTCTCAGATGACTGAAATGGCAAAATTCAGCCATCTGATGAGATCCTGAAACAGAATTAGGGTTGAGAGATGGGACACCTGCATTTTCAACCCTTGAGCTTGAGCTATTGTTGTAGTATCAGTATCTGTGTATATTTCTGTTGATTCTTTTTCTTGTTGTACTATTTTAGGAGCTTTTTGTTGGATTATTTTTTGAGGTTCAATACTTTTGATATTTTCACTTTTTGCTTTTTGATGATTTTGATTTTCTGTTTTTTCCTGGATATTTTCTTGATTATTTTCTGTTTGTGTTCTTTTAGATTTGTTGATTGCTTTTAATGTTTTTTATGTTCTCTTCAATAATTGGGTCAATTTCTGGTACATCAATTGATAAAATTTCCATTTTTGTGGATGCAGTTTGATCCAGTTCTGTATTAATGTGTCTACTTGACTTTGTATAATTTCTGCATGTCTTTTTGTAAAATTTTGATTTGTTTTAGATCATTATTTTGAAGTATGGAGATATCAAAGGAGATTAATTCTGTCATTGTTTCTATAAAATCTTATAGAATGTCTGTAAAAATTTCCTCTTGATTTTTGGGATCAGAATCAATAAATGTTTGATTGGCTGCTATAATACCTTGTAATATTCTAAAGAGTAGTGATATGATGGAAAGTTTCTGTTGTTTTATATATTCTTTGTTATATTCGTTTTTTAATTTCTTTAGGTCTGGATTTTTGGAATGTTCAGATTCTTTTTCTTCTATTGGAAAAGGTTGGGGAACGTTATAATCATCTTGTATATTTTCAGGTTCAGAATAGGTGTTGGAATTGAATTGTGCAATTACAGTGGAAGGCGTGCTTATATTACCTGGTATATTGTCTTCATCAATACCATTATTTATTTTACCTTCTTTTGATACTTCTGGTCTTCCTCTTTCTGGTACTTTTACGGGAATCTTGTCAGGGGGGTTCAAACCTGGATTTTGTTGGTCATTGATGGGATGACTTGTAGATCAACCCTTTGACTCATTGTCTGCGTACCATGGTCTTTAATCAATTTTCTGCGCAAATTCAAAGTTTTTGGGATGTTTGGGATCACAAACTCAGATATCAGGATTTTCCAAAAGAGAGGTATTGAATTTATTCAGGGTAATAAAGATTTTTTTTCAAGAAAATTTGTAGGTTGAAAAGAGTTTTTAGACCATTAAGAGACTGTAGATCAAAAAGAGAGCTCTGCTACCAATTTTTTGGGGACAGAAGTCATCTCAACAAGGATTTGCTGAAAAGACAGAATTTAGAATAGTTTTTAAAGAAAACACAGAATCAGCCCGGGACTGGGGCCGGGAATTCACGGTGGAATCCCTAGTTTAAAGGTAAAGTATATTTCAAATGTCCCAAATAAACATTTTAGAAAATAGTCACACAACACAAGTTATAAGATTGACAAAATAATTTGAACCACAAAAAATCTATCAGAAAACCTCTCAGAATGCACTGCTCCAGCAGCAAGATTGGACTGTGTCATTTCTGGATTTAAACAGGGGTATTTATTAATTCCTTCTCTGGTCCTTGATCAAGGGGGTTGATCAAGGGCAGGAGAATCTTGGAGGCCTGGGATTGGCCAATAAATTGGTAATTGAAGACATCTTGGCACCAAGACAGTTGAATTTTTGGGGGAGGGGGAAAAGTCATTGACAACTTTCATCAGTTTTTACGCATTGGTGGTTTTCCACCCAATTAGACATTTATGATTGATTTTCAAAGGGGATTTGCAGCAAGTCCCCAACATAATCCCCCTGCCCAGTAAAGAAGCCTGCTGCCAGGCATGCTCTTTCACTGGGCATTCTGGCTGTTAAACGCCATGACAGGGATTTGTGTGCACAATGGTTACCCTGCCATTTCAACTTTCATTTTGTGAGACTTCCAGTGAGAGGGTCTGTAAGAGGGTCCCATTCATTTTGATATGTGTAGTGATTTACTTCTGAAGTGATCAGTTTCAAAAGTCAATCAATATATAATACATTAAATTGTTATACACTTGTTTTTCAGGTTGCTTTTTAGCGTTTTTAAAAGATTCACGTGTCTTTGCTTCTTCTGATGTTGGGTATCCTGTGCGATTTTTGTTTGTGAGTTTTTTTTCTGCTGAAGTTTTCCTGACAAGTCATTTTGATAAGTGCTTGAGTCTTGTCTTTAAGTTTTCTTGTGCATGTTTCCAATGGCCGGAGTTGAGGATGGTTTCATGGATGAGATTGCCAATGCTTCTAGCTTCTTTGGAGATGCTTGCCGGCGTTCCAGACAAAGGTTTGTTTGATTTCAATTCAGATTTTTTTTATGAGTGTAATTTCAACTCTATTTCTTCTTAAGAGTTTAATTTCAACTCAGATTCTTATGATGAGTGTAATTTCAACTCTATAGTTGTTTTGATAAGTGTATTTTCAACTCTATTTCTCTTCTGTTTCATATTTTTGAGTACTTGTTTTGTAGTTCTCTTGCTTCTTATTTTGCTTTCATGAGCTCTTATTCTTGACCGATGATTAGTTGGCCCCATTTTCTTGGCGCCAAGACAGTTGAATTTTTGGGGGAGGGGGAAAAGTTGTTGATGACTTTCATCCGATTTTTACGCATGGGTGGTTTTCCACCCAATTAAACATTTATGATTGATTTTCAAAGGGGATGCGCAGCAAGTCCCCAAGGGGTTAGGAGATGTGAAACCTGCATCTCTAACCCTAAATGTTTTGCTCAGTTTTTGAATTTTAAGACAACTCTGTCACCAGTTTTTGTTTTTAGGGACAATTCTGTCACTGGACAGCCAACAAAGTGAGGGGGAGGGGCATGACATAGCAGCTTTCATTGGTTTCAAATGCATGTGGAGCAACAAAATGCCTCAGCAAGAGTCATCCCTTGCGCATGGTCAGAGTGCCACCCAAAAAAAATTGTGAGTGGACTTCTTGCCAAAGCTCACATGTGAGCTGCCAAATTTACGCTGCTCCCCCTTCCCCCTGCCTCACTTTCTGAACACATCACTCTCTCCTTGAAGAAAAATCATGAGAGACTTCAGAAGGCCTGTTTGAATAGGTATAAATGGTGTAGTGGGAGAAGTACTATCAACAACTGTATTAATATTCATTTTAATAAACCTTATGGCTTTACTGAAGGTTCATTACTCTGATTATAAAAGTTGAGTATATGCAATGAGAAATTGTCTGAATTGAATTTGCTATTAAAGGGTTGTTATATTGTATTTATTTGCATTCATTCTCAATGCTGCCCTTCCTATGGACACTCAAAATTGTTTCTAACAATTCAAACTAGAAATTTGTATGATGTAAATGCATACCTTATGAAGTTTTCCAAATATTCTTTGTTTGATGTGAAATATTGTGTCAACTGCAGAAGGAGTAAGAACATGTTTACTGTGTTGAGAAGGCAGGAAGCCAGTCAACCTACACAGCCTTTCCTGTAACTTTTAAAAATCACCAGAACACAAACAGAGGGGAACATTCTATTCTACTCATTTTAGTATAGAGGACACTAGCATGCTGAATTAACATGAAGTCATTCTTACCACTAGTGAACACTTGTAAATTTCCTATTTTTTTAAATGCCCAAATTTATCACATTTCACTACTACCAAGTCAACTAAGGAAACCTGACACAAATTGTATTACAGTACAGTACAGTATTGCCAACTATAGCAATATTCCTGAATAGTTTTTGGAACTGTATTGTTTAAACAAACTAATGCATTCTATACTGGACAATAGAGAAGTCTAAAAATAATCTTCAGCATGCATTCCATGGCAAGTTTTAATAGAGCAATGAGTGCAGTGTGAATCCTACACCATTTCTTCCCAAAACAGCCAGGCTCCACTTTCTGAAGTTGCTGAAGCATGTGCACAAGAGAGGGACTATACAGGTGCATGGGGAGTGAGGCAGGGGGAAGGGGGAGCAGCATAAATTTGGCAGCTCACATGTGAGCTCTGGCAAGAAGTCCGTCCACCCAAAAAAAATTGGAGACAAGTCATTCCATCAAGAAGTGATAAACCACAAGTTTGGCATAAAACTTTCTTGTTCTGCATCATCCCCAACTATGACCACAATTGCCAACTTCACTGCATTTTTTGTTTTTATGCTGTCTTCTGTGCAATTTATTAATATAAGACTCTTGGGGCAGTCTTTTCAAGGTCATATAGCTGTGGCATGTTTGTTAGAGATGACTCAAAAAATAGTCAGCCAAGGAGCAGACTGGGACGGCAACAGGCGCCGGAAGAAAACGGAAGGGAGGAATACCAATTGAGGGAGTGAGTACAATCTAAGTTGATTTAATATCACCAACTTCAATAAAATATTACGCAATTCACCCCACCGATTTCTTCCCTTTCTTGTGCATATATTCTGTGGACTGGTGCTGAATCTCGAAGTTTATTCGAACTGGAAACTGTAGAATGTATATACACCTGTAGGTGCTAAGACGCAGAATTTCATCCTCAGTATTTTTTTAAGAGAAAATCTCTTCACTGAAAACCCTTATAAAAACATGGGGAGAAAACCCTGTGAGACCACGAGAAATTCGTTTCACAGTTCCAAGAAAATCGTTCTGCTCAACTATAGGAGTATATTCATTTGATGAAATATTTTTGTGTAAAAGAGTATTGGAAGTCTTTTTTTTCTCTTGCACCACCTCACCATGTGACCCACACCCTGTTTATGTTATGATAAGATTTTCTTCAAAGTTTGTAATGGTGTAAAATGCCCACCCGGTTTTTTTCTGTCTCCGGATTTGATGAGAAAAGCATCCTGTTTCAAGATTTATTGCTAGTTTAACTGGACTTGAATTTGGTATTTTTCCTGAAAGAAACCCCTGCATGCTGCATCATCCTGCATGTTGCTAACTGTGGAATACAGAATCATATATTCTTGAGCCGCTGAAGAACTTATTGTCTTGACACAGGCCTTGTGAAGGCTTGTATTGAACTTAGATTGAGACTTGAATCCATTGAATGTCTTTATTTTCGTCTCGGTACATTTTCAATATTCATCATATGTTCCGTGGAGAAATATGAAAAATCCTTGCGATCGAAACCCCGTCAGTGCCTAAACTTATATTTTAGATGTATGGTTGGGAGGGAATTCGTCAAGCATTTAGAAGATTCATAGAAGTAATGAAATTTTTTTTTCGAAATGGTGACATATGTTTCTCATAAGCAATTGAGCAAGTTTTGCTCTAAGAGCAACAAATCGCGGGGAAAGACGGGACATCTCCATCATCCTCAGCAATGAACTCAAATCAAGCAGCGAAAATTTTATGGATAAGTTGAAGAAGTGGTGCTTGCTCTTTTGTGCATTGATGCTATTGGAAAGAATGCCGTCGAGCGAGTTCTTATTGAGTTATTTTATCCCCATCTGAATATCGGACAAGTTTCATTCGGTATCTCATCTTTCAGAGTCGACATTTTGTCTCGGATAAGCGCAGTCGTTGAGGAGTCGGTGAAAGATTTAGCGAACCAGCGGAGGTTGTCGGACTTGCTAATAAACTCGTTTGGTGGAACGCGTGATTCCGTTTGGCTCTTTCAAGCTGGGCATTCTCACCCCGGGGGCGTATATACAGTATATAGATGCCCTGTGTATAGTGTCGCCCCGCGTCACGTTGAGCGTTCCGATTTCTTCACTAGCTTCGTGAATTCCTCCGAGCCACGTTGAGTGTATCTGATATCAGGGTGAGTCTCTCGTGAAAGAATAATTTTTTCTTTAAAGAGGATTATGCAAGAATGCTTTGATTAGCTGACTTAATGTGTTTCACTTCTAGATTAAGTGTAAGTATCTCATATATAAGTGCGAGGATTGCCCCTCTTCCGCGCGTATTGAACTATTCCTGGCGTCGTTCTTATAAACAAATTTCGATTCCATAATGTCCTATATGCATTTGCCATTTTTCAGTTTTCCACCTTTTTTCAAGGCACTGAAAAATGAAAAGTAAAGCATTTTATATTACAGCCATAAATTCTCATCAATTTCGCAACATGCTGGAAATTTTTCAAGGGTTAAAAATTGAATTGTTGATATTATACAGTATGCTAATTTATGGTGAAAGCCTTGTTGGATTTCATGTCCGTTTTGGTGGTTCTTAAGAAATCGGTCTTTCGAATACTGTACATTTCATTACTTTAACGAATGCCCGCGACTCTTCTTCGGTTTAAAGGGTATATAATTATTATCCTGCAGGAGTAATTTTACGCAATGAAGAAGATACTTGAAGCATGAATAGAAGATCGGAGTTCCTGTTGGTGAAGTTGTTTGCCATGGGAGATTGTTTTCCACTACAGTATTGGTCGTGCAGAAAATTTTTCAAGAGGGCGTAGGAAAATATTCGTCTTGTTATCGATGGTTTCTCGTATTTGGTGCGCGCACGGTTTTCGTGGTGTGAATTACTCGTTTCCCCGAAAGAATTAATGTCTCATCGTAAAAATATACCCCAAGGGAAAGTCTTGCACAAGTCCTTCAGCATGGGGATGTTTGTCTTCCGATTTCCTTTGTCTTCCGATGGGCAGAAGTGGGGAAACATTGCTTCTCAAAAAGGTTCCTTGATTTAATTGCGTTAGATTTAATTTTCGCACCTTCTGTTCGAGGCGTATACACACCAACCCGCGGGGGAACGGAATGTCAAATTATTATAAGATGTGCTGGATCATTTCAGTTATTTGATAAATCAAGTGAAACACCTTCGAGAAAGGTGATTCCTGGATCAATATGTGTTTGCAATCTCCGCGGACGTAATCGTTCGCGTTTGATCGTATGGTTTTGCATAATTCGTGTTTCAACTGCTAATTATTCATGTTGTCACGTTTTAGCCGATCGAATGACGCTTATGTGCCAGTATTGAAGCTGGATGGCATTGAATTGGATCTCGTGTTCGCAAAACTACCAATCGCGGCCCAAGTTCGGGACAATCTGGTGTTTATTGATGCACTGAGGACAGTTTCGGGTTAATTTATTAGTTCATGAATACCACATGTTTCGGACTTCGGCAGAATTTAGACGATTCTTTTCACGTCGCACCGCGTCCGACCCGAAATGATGCTTGCGAAGCTGATGGAACGGGTGTCGTGTTACCGATGAAATCCTCAGAGTCGTTCCTTACCAGGACCATTTTCGGGTCAATGAGCTGTACGAATATGGGCAAAACGTGGGTACTTCTCATTTTTTTGTTCTGATCTTCAATTGGACCTTATTTTTTAATTCTGGTTACGGTATGAGATCAGGGCAATTCGCTTTAGATTATTTTCGTAATTATAATCTGCCGCTTGTTCATTCGTGAATTTAGGGTACTGTATTCATAATTAAGCCGTAGCGTTTCGTTTGGTCGTCAAGTTTCAAGGTACCAATTTTCATGCGATTTTAAGAATTGAAAATATCCTCATCATTATAGTGGTGATTAATCACTTAGTGATTCGAAGGAATACCTGTTCGCAAAAAGAGCGAGTTCGCACTCGAAATGATTATTGAGCTTAACGAACCGTGTAATGCCCAGCTTATAAAATACAGTACTGTTCTACGCAACTATGAAAAATTTCACTCTTACAGAAGCTTGCATAGCTTCCTGTTTTGCAAGAGTTACGACCTTGCATAAGCACATATCATGGATGTGTCGAACCGCGTATTCCCATTATTGTGAAGTCCTTGAAAATTTTACGATAAATTGAACAGTTCTCATTTTTTTAGCTCACCCATTATTTGACTATTGGCACTGAATTTTCCTGGATCTATTAAAAGACCTTTGTTAAAATTTTTGAATACCGGTGGACTTTCTGCAACAAACTTCCTATGGAACCATAGATCTTGTCTACAACGATTAACGAATTCTTTTTCCTCCCACAGAGATCTCATCTTATCACATTATAGAAGTTCTCAACAAAATTATTTCGTGCACAGGTGAACTTAACGTTTAAACGTCAGTTTAGACACAGTCTTTGGCACACTTGATTGTTTTAAAAGGAAAACCACAACGAGCGTGATACCGACGAAGTTCCACCCGGAGCACCTCTTGGTGAGTTGGGATTCAATTACTTTTCGGTTTCCAGCAGAACGACGTTGTCGAGCCCCTTTCATGCGAAGTTGGTAGCTCAAAGAAAGTATGGCTTTTGAGGAACTGTTCATTTTTCTGTGAATACTGTCGTCGTATGAGCGAGGGCGTTCCCATTGTTGAAAAGGAGAACTAACATATATAGGCACCTAATGTTTCTGCCGTCAAAATCTTTCTAATCGAGTCCATACGAAAAATATTTTTTGTGCTATTTTTCGTGAAGTTGAATTCCGCGTACGTAGTTTTATAATCGTGAGCGATTTTCGTCTATTTCGGACGATTTTTCAAGGGTCTTATCATTCCTTCGGAGTCTGATGGATCTGCGGGCATGAATTTTCCCGACCGGGTAACTCCGGTTTTAAATATCTCGGAAAAGGCTCGGGTGATGTGTTTCCTGAACCCGCGGTGTGAAGAAACCACGAGTTATTGCCGTTCCCAAGGTTCGATCTGTGAAGGCGGGATTGTTTCTTGTTGAACTATGCTGACATTAATGCGTTTCTTCAACTTAGGTGTTCGGGGGCGGCGATATTGCCCCTTTCACTAACAAACTTGGTTACCACGTCACACAAGCCAACCCGACATTTTCAACGCCCAAAATGGCCTAGACACAAGCACGAGCCACTGTTAAAGTGAGCCTTCGCGCCGAAGGAGGTAACACTACTCACAAATCACGGTGATTGTTTTGCACCTTATGTTTAGTCAGTTTAACGTTCTGTTATCTGAGATGGAAGTGTACTGACGAAATGTTTCCATGCGTTCCTGGCGTGTTTATTTTCGTCGCAAAATTAGAGATTGGCCTTCTGAGTCTCCTCCAACTGTGAACTATAGTTTGAAGTCTGCCCCTATATAGTTCCAATTAACTGGTACCGGTTTTTTAAATTCATGCATGCGTGTGCATGTTTTGGTCTCTATTATACTTGATTTAAATACGTACAGTGAAAATCATTACTGTTCTAAAAAGTGGGACTTGGAAAAAGTAAATTGATTCATTGTATATGTGGCGTCCTCATGTTCAGTCTACCGTTTCAATAATTGGTTGTAATTGTGAAGTATAAATTCCAAAGCATTAGCAGTAGTAATTGTGATTCTAATCGAATTACCGAGTGGTGGTGGATTCACAGTGGCGTAGATGGTTTTGACTAATGTGAGAAGAAGTTCGTCTTCCTTCTATTTTTCCTATATAGGGGCAAAGCGCCGGAGCGGGATCGGCGCAAGCTGAGAAATTTGTTTTCAATCCCCGCTATGCCGAAGCGGACACTGTGATTTTGCCATTTTGGTTAGATTGACCGTACTGACAATGGTTTTAAGCAATTCTTAACTTCTTTTTGCATATGGCCGGCTCTCAATGGAGGTGCTGCATATGATGCGAAGTCGATCCTTGACTGTGCGAAGATCTCGCTCCGCTATAGTTCCAATCTCGTGTTATTCACATCCTCTATAAAAGGTCGAGCGGTGACGAGTTTAACGCGTCTCTATCCTTCGGCGGATTGTTGGAAATGTTGAAATCGAGACGATGCCGAAGTGCTTTTCTTTTTTCATATACATGAGTGTTGGATTCGTTTGTAAGGTGCATTCCAATGAGTCCTCGCATACTTTCGTGGCTTAGACGCATGCGTGAAAAAAATTGAAAGCATAAAAAAAAAAATTCAAGAAAGCAGATAAAAAAATCTAAAAACTTGGAAAGTGTAATAAAAAGAAAAAGTGAGGGAAGATCGTATCGACTCTTTTCTGTTGGAAACTATTATAACGTGGCTTCTGCCTTACCTTGTCGCGTTTTTTGAAGCA